CTACTTGCTTCAAAAAATCACTAATTGTAGGTGAAGTCATTCTGATACTAGTAGCTGATTGAGAAGGCATTTGAATAGATGTTTGAAAAGGTGTTCCATGAATTTGTGAAGGGACATATGGTAAAAACATTTGGAATGAATTGTAAAATGGAAGTACTGCATATAGTTGTCCTGAAGATACTGGTTGCTGTATTGAATTAGATTGCAATGGTGATGGTAGTGGTGACAATGCTTTAATTTTTGAAGGATGTTGATATGCAAATAAAGGATGTGTAGGTGGTTCTGTTGGCGTTGCCATTGCCTTACTCTATTTGAAAATAATCATAAAAAGTTTTATTTATAGTATCTAATATAAAATAAATTTGTATAAATTATACAGTATTTACCATTTCAGAGGCCCAAATCGAAAGCATCATGAATATTATCTCAATGTGATTTTCTTTAGCTCTATCTTTATTTATGCAAGGCCGATTATGAATATTACAATGATTTGCTTTACGAATCTCCAAGACTTTGCTTGCCATTATTGATTCTTTAGGTGATAAATTAGAAGTTTTAGGAATACGATTTTTATTTTTGAAAGTTGTAGTAAAATCATCATCTGAATTATCTTCAGATTCATCATACTAAATATATGTATATAATGTTCAGTAAAAGAATCAATATGTTATAAATTAATCTTAAATTATTTACTTGCCACTTTTTTTTGTTTTAGATTCGAAGAAGTACTGATAAATATTATAAGAAAAACCATGCTAACATTTTTTAAAGAGTATTTAGTATAATCCATTTGAAATTTTTTAAAATCTTGAGCATCTACTAATTGTGTGCCTGCTCCTGTTCCTTTTTCTGATTTAAATGCAACTCGATAATCACTTGCTTCAATTGATTTTTTTATTAATGTTTCAATATTGGAATGAATTTCAGAAAGTAATTTATCGACTGCAGATACTTTAGCCGTATACCATTTGGCTGGAAGAGATGTTCCATTTTCTAATTTAATGAATACTCTATAATTATACTCATGTTCAACATCCTCATTATCAGACGAAATTTTTTCTTCATCAGATTCGAATGTTATAGAATTAGCTATTTCAGGACTTTTAGGAACCGTAAGATCATAGGTTTCAGTTTCTAAAGGGGTATCATGATTTGTGATCGTTTCTTTAGATTTTTTTGGTGTTAATTTCAATAAAATATTATTGCACCGGGAGCACAAAGAAAAATTGAATGCTTCTTTTAAACTTAGCAAATAACTATGAAGTGTTATTTTTTGCTGAATATACTCTACTTGTTCTACTGTCCAGCTTGGGTTGAATACTCGAGTATACGCATATTTGACAGCATTGGTTCAATTTCCTTTATGTGGTGCAGTACATATGTTGCAATTACATTTATTTTGCTGTAAATCGATTCCACAGTACAAGCATTTGCGACAACTAAAACAGGTTCCTCGATAATATTTTATC